ACTGTGAAGTCCACTGAGACAAATGTAACATTTGTGATATTGGGCTATATAAATAAACATTGATTGATTGATTGATTGATTGATTGAGAAGGCCTCCCGAAATACTTTAATGTAAATTAAAATGTAAATGTGAAGGAATGTGTGTATAACAAAATACATCTGTCACAACTCTAACACAGAAAAGACCTGTCTATGCTGCCCCAGAACGCCTCGTTGGACATTTTTATTTTTCCAATTTTTTTCTTCCTGGGCCTATTTACGTCACCAAGTCCAAATGGACCAATAGGCACACCCTCTGCCAGGACAGACTCCCGAGCAGCTCAGGAGCTGCCTGAGACCCCCGGAGCGGCTGTGTTTCCCTGGATGCTGAGCGCCATGCCGGCGGGACAGGCTGAGCTCCGCGCTGTCTCGCTGTCTCGCAGACCCCACGCAGCAACCAGGAAACAACACCAGTAATCCAGCTCACACTGTCGGCTCCTCGAGCCTCAAAGGGCGGATCAGCGAGCCCCACAACGTCCCGCCAACACGGCACCCAGACCCCACGCAGCATTCTCATCTGTTTATCATTACTGGTGTCATTTTCTGGTTGCTAACGCCATTGTAACACATAATCACTGATGTTCCGCTGTAACGGTGGTGGACTCATCAGAACAGAGCGGGCAAGCTGACCAATCAGAGTTGAGTGGGCTCACAGGGAGGGGGCAGGAGCTCCAACAAGCCGTGTAGGACAGAGTGAATACACATTACTATACAGAGATGCTGTATGAGAAACCAATGTGAGTTTGGAACATTGAACAATGTAAATCTATACTAGTAGACCTCAACAATGGAATTATGATCAGTCATGGGGCCTTTAAAGTTATAAAAAAGTGCTTTATTTCATATAATAGTGAATAGGACATGTTTAAAAATACACACATTGAGTACCTGTTTGCATAATGTTTACAAAAAATTATAATATATAATCCCAAATACAGTACTTACTTTTATTTTATAAAACCGAGCCCTTTTATAGATCCCACACACATTAAAATATGCAAAACATTTTCAAAAATAAAGTTTTCAACACACTAAACATATTTTCACATTTTACATAATGCCATCGTGAAACAACCTGCAGACATAAAGACATTTTAGTTACTTTAAAATAAATGTATTTCTCTATCAATGTTTAGAGGAACAATTAGCACCGGTGCATCTTATAAGTCACAGAGGATATTGCAGAAGGACACAGCTACAGGTATTATTGCAAGCGTCCTTTGGTGGCTAAAACAGGGAAAACACATCCTCAATGTGGGTATTCTGAAATGTAGAGGTGAATAGTAACTAACTATATTTACTCAAGTATAGTACTTAAGTAGTTATTTGTTAATTACTACAGATCTACAAAGTATTTCTAAACACAGTATATATAAATGTGTTCAAATTGACAAACTACGATTCTAAAACGCTCTTAAATGTTTAAAAACTGAATTATATAAACCCCTAACTTTAAGATGTTAAAATTAGGACCTCCAATGGTAACGTAGAGTATTTGAAGTAAAGGATCTGAGCACTTCTTCCAACACTGCTGAGATGTAATCAGCTTTCTGTTTTGTTTCATTCAGTCATACGTTAATATAAATCACTTTGAAAGACGTGCAGAAGAATTAGCATTAGCAATCAAATGCTAAAGAAACAGCATCACATTTAATAAAACGAGTAAGCAATTAGTAGGAGAATATATGTATAAAATGCTCTTGTAATGATAGATCAAAACATTGTAACTCGGCTCTGTAGGTTAGACATGTAGCTTGGTTAGCATGATGTTAGCTTAGCATGAAGACTGGAAGCAGCTAGCGTGGCTCTATAACAAAACTACCTCAAAACTTGGACTTATGCTAAGAAAATTGTAATGAACTTGCCTCAAACATGTTACGTCCGGAAAAAAGGGGATGCATTGGTCAAATACATTTAAAATTCAAGTTAACTTACGCTTAGTTACGTAATGTTTCCTAAACCTAACCCAGAGCTTGAATTCAGAACTAATCCACATGTTTAAAACTCTGATTATGCAACTTTATGTGATGAGTTTGTGGATATTATACAATATATATAGGTTGGATGTATCAATTGACAAAAGTACCCGCAATAGAGACTTTTAAAAAGATAGAACCAAAACTAAACTGACCACCAAGAAGTGTATTAATGCGTAGACATTGTTTTTTAAATTTTTTCAGGTTTAAAAATGGCAGTTTTAACCAGAAGGGGGCCATATTTGTAGTCCCGGTGGGCTGATTTGGACTACCATAAGCAATGTAGCGGCCATTGGATATAGAGAGGTCAAGACGAAAATGATAACCTCTACTGTGGACCATTTTCTTTCAAATAAATAAGCACTGTCCAATCCAAATGATCCAGAGTGCCATCATTAATCAAAAGGTTGATTAGGTCGATTTACTTT